GTGGAACTTTACTCAAAGCCTAAAAAGTGGGAACTTCATCAGTAAAGGGAAGTTCTCAAATTATCTTCCACCTTTTATCAAACACATAACATGAACAGTAATAGATAAAATTCATTCTTCCTCTTCTAACTTCTTGTTATCAAACACGCCCTGTATAAACCTCACACCTGAATAACAATCAGCCCAAATATTCACTAATATCAAGAAAATGGTAATTCACGTGATTCACTGAAATATTATTTTACAAGGAGATAAATCCCAATCCTTAGTTAAAAAATAAGAAGGCAATATCATAATGCATCATCATCATCAAAACCTTTTCCCAAATATTTGAAATAAATGGGGCAATTATATGGGAAATTTGGAAAGAGATGAATACGAGGACTTTTAATAGGGATATTTTATCCTATGATAGAGTACTTCACAATGTTAATCATACTTTGTGGTGCTGGTTGTTAGTTACAAAAGAAGAGTGGGGTATTTCGGAGGTAGATGTAATCTTCAAATTTTGTTTCAGATGGGTATCGTTAGATGTCAGCCTAGAAGCATTTGGGTTCTACCTTTGATGGTGGCTTCAAATTAAATTTTGATAGGAGCTCTCTTAGTAATCCCGGATTGGCAAGTATAGAAGGGCTAGTTAGGGACTGGAACGGGGCTACAATCTTCACCTATGCTAGTCCTACTGGTGTGGTGACTTCTAACCATGCAGAAATCCTTGCTCTCTTCCACGGGTAAAGCTTTTCAAATGCGGGAATTTGGGTTTGTGTTGTATGGTGAGAGGAGATTAGATGGTACGATAAGGAGCAAACGGTACACAAATATCGATTTGGATACAGATTTTAGACATGAAGGAATCATTGACTACTTCTTTTCATTATATTTACAGGCAAGCCACCAATGTCGACGCTGATATTAAGAGTGGTGTTTCTCTCCCGTCACTTCTTCCGTTGGATGATGTAAATCCCTAATGTGATTTTCTTCCATTGATAAATATAGTAACACTGATGAAAAAAATTAGGAAAAATTATGTAAATATCTGTTTTAGTTTCTATTAGTAAACAAATACCGAATATTTTATGATTTACTGATATGTTCGTTTTTTAGACTTCATAACAATTTTTAAAAAAAAGATGAAACTGCCCATTTTTTATAGAGAGAGAGGTAGAGAGAATACGCAGAGGACTCACCAGAGAAAAAAAATTTTGGTTTTCAAAAATCGAAATTAACCTGGTTTTTGAAAAATCAAAAATATGTATTTTTGTTTTTTTTAAAAAAAATTGTTATAAAGTCCAAAAAACAACATATCAATAATAACATAAAGTATTTTACATTTTAGTTATATCGAAAACTAAAACAGCTACTTAAATAATTTTCCCAAAAAAATACTAATTGGAGTCGGCAAAGCAACATCGCAATGCAATGGTAACTAATTCGAGTTGAGGAGCCTAGCCTCAATTCCGTTTTTTACTCTTAGGAAAATTGTACCGTTGAAGAGAGGCCGTTAAACCACATAATGAGAGGAAAAGCAACGAAACAAAAAAAATTCAAAAAGTGAAATAGAAACGTTGAGAGCAAGAGAGAGAGAGGAGCCCAATAAAAATTCTCCCCGTCTCCGAACTTCGTATCTGAAGTAAACTGAGATAACTTTGAAGAGCTTTAAAGGTTTGGAAGGGAAAACCACCCTTCTCTTCGGAAACCCACATTAAAGATCAAACCAGAAGAGAGAGAAACAGCCCAATCTGTAGAGAGAGAAACAGGGAAAGCACTCTTAGTCACAATCACCCAACTAGCAGAGAGAGAGAGTTTTGCCAGCTGAGAAGAAGAAGAAGACACAGGAGACAGAAGTGAGATGGAAGAGATAACCATCTCAAACCAGCTATTGAGCCAGCAGCTCATGCACCTGCAATGCGCCTTAGCCTCCTGGTCCAACCCCGATCTCCCCTCGATACCAACCCCATCAACAAAATACCCACCATTAGAGAGAGGAAGAATGTACCAAGCATACTCAGAGAAGAGAGAGGCCAAGCTCCAAGAAAAACACAGGAAAGCCCAAGCCCCAGCCCCATCCAGGCCTATGAAGCAGGTCTCGTTTGGGCTCGAAACTAAAGGCGCACTTCAAACCCGCAAAGACACTTGCATACTTGATGTTGCTCGCTCTGTTCCTGATTTTGGTTCGGCTTTGAGGAAAGAGAATAAGAAACCATTATTGCCTTCTTCGATGACTCCTCCTCCTCCACAGAAGAAGAGTTGCAGTGGATGGGGTAGCAGATCAGAGGAGAAGAAGGGTGTTTCTAAGGTGAGTAAGAGTTATGCTAATATTAAGGACTTGAGGGGTTTTTCAACTGCAGCTGCTCAGGCCATTAATGGAGAAGATGGGGTGGGGACGAAGAGTTGCCGGGGAAGGGTGGGGAGTGGGGTTACTGGTATTGGAAGCAAGATTGGCAGGAGATAAGCCTGAAGGCTCTCTCTCTCTCTCTCGTCTCGTCTCTCTCTCT